GACCGATCGTATATCTAGAGTTATAAATCATTCGGTTTAGAATTGATCGTTGCTATATATCAAAGAGGTCCCTCGAGGTTATAGTGCGACAGATTTATCCGGTCCGATAGACGCATTTCGCTGTAGTTCGGTCAGGAAGTATGTAAAACCATTTAGGTGTAGAAATTGACACAAAAAAACATGAAGCTGTGCTGAACACTGATCTGTATAAGTGGATAGGTGTTTGGAAATTACTTGGTTCGTTCCGATTTAAACGCGGCTGTTGATGTAAATAATTCTATCTCTATTCATTCTTTACCACCTACCTCCTCCTCCTCCTACCTCTTCTAAGGCCATCATTTCGATAATCAAATAGGCACAGAGTACTACGTCTTGTAGCGTTTCCATTTATAGCAGTGAGTGCGTCAAATCTTCGTCGGTTAGCTCTCTTAGAAAATATGTAAAACCATAAACAATCAAAGACAAAATAGATGCAGTACGACAAGGATTTTGTGGCAATTTGACATTTATAAGAGGAGCTACTGAGCCATAATTTGTGTTCTCCGGGTCAAATACGTTTGTCGGACTATAACACTGCCATTGGGGTCTTATGCAACCTCTTTGTTGCAGTTAAGAGGTTGTTGATAGCCAGTGTTGTATTGCATAAACCACGATGTAGTGATGTGAAGTTTGGTAATATCGATATGTCGATAAATTTGAATAATAACAGAGATTCACTTATATTGTCGGACTTTATATTAACTGATTTGTATTGTTTTATTAATAATAAGGCATAATGAAGAACGTTAGTATTTTGTGCATATTACCTTTTGTAAACTCTATGGTAAATTGAAAGATGAAGGTAAATCTTATAATAAGTTAACTTTCATGGCTTCTAATTAATTACCGAGGTTTAGACAAATCCAATTAACTCTATTTATTGGAGCCGCGCGTAATTATATTTACTTCCAGATTAAGGTAACGGTAATTACGTCTGGGAATTGCTTGATATGACTTTGATATACAGGCGTACGTATTTTACTTTGTTTTGTCTCGAGTTTTCACTGTCGAAACATGTACAAAAACAATCATTTCACTCATACACTATGAAGACACAACAAAGTTAAGAAACTCATTATAACTTAAAAGTATTGATAAAAAGTAATTCTTCATTATTTTAAATTTAGTTATTACTAGCTGTTGTTCGCGACTTCCCCCTCGTGAAAAATAGCCTATGTTACTCACTGACGACAGCTTTTTAACGGTGTAAGAATTTTTTAAATCGGCCCAGTAGTTTTTAAGTTATTTCAACACATACAAAAATACAAATCTTTCCTCTTTATAAAATTAGTTTAGCCTAGCTGTTGCTCGCGATTTCGTCCGCTTGTAAATTAAAAATATATCCTATGTTACGCACAGATAAATTACCTTTCTAAGGGGAAAGAATTGTTAAAATCGACCCAGTAGTTTTTGAGTTATTTCAATAAACAGAAATACATATCTTTCCTCTTTATAATATTAGTACAGATAAATTGTGTAACATATTTGTTTTAATAGCATTTATACTAAAACCTACGTGTATGTTGGTCCTAACTACCTTTGTCTTGTTCTAAAAAAAAACTAAATAATGGAATGTTTCCCTCCAAAAGTAGTCCCTTTTAAATTACTGTGTAACATCAATAAAACGACTTTTATCGACTCACTCGTATTTAAGTTTACAAACAAGCAGACCGATAAAACCGGTCAATGTGTTACCTCATGGTTCAGTGGTTAAGTGTAGCCAGGTTCTAAGTTCAATTTAAAAATATTTAACATAGCAAAAGGTAAGCATGGTATGGACATGTTATACGACGAGACGATAGGGACATAAACCAGAAAGTATTAAGAATGAATGTGTATGGCTACAAAGGAAGAGGAAGACCAAAGAAAGTGTAGATGGATTGTGTGAAAGAGGATATGCTTAAGAAAGGAGTGGATTCAGATTTATGGAAGAGCAGCACATACTGTGCCGACCCTCCATAAGGGATAAGGGCAAGTTGATAGCAATGCCGTCTTCATTTTGTCAAAGAATATAGGGGATGATGGGTAATTTGAAACAAGTTTTACGATAGCTGAAACCTACAGTATAAATAAGGAGCAGCCCATTATTTAAATAACTTTTAACAGCGTGCTCACATTAGAAACAAAACTATCACATAATTGTTTAGTCTCGTTTTATTTGTGCGATAGTTTAGTCAAAGATGTGCGCCCGCTCTTAAAGTTTATTTTAATATATGTTGTCCTTAATTTTTTGGCTACTGACAGATTATAAGCGACTTATACGTATATTGAGATTCGTTTAAGAATTCAGCCTAAAGATGTTCAATGTTTACGATAGATCATCGTAATTAAGGTTTCTTATCAAGTTCGAAGTCAAAGTGGAGCGTTTATTTGATTGTTGAAATACCGACATTGATAATCGAGCGTAAGAGACGTTCGGTTGCTACCGATTGGTTTAAGCTTCCTATACACGGAGGTTTTTAAGATCTTTTTATGTCTACACTGAATCGCTCGAAGCTCTGAAGTTAGGGGTGATTAGGCTATATTCAATTACACACATATCTTTGAATTTCTTCGCCGATATGTGCAGGCATCACGATGTTTTCCTTCGCAGTAAGAACGTCGAGCAAATTATGTACATTTGACATTAGAAAATCACATTGGTATTGCGAGAAAGAGGGAAGATTTGTATTTTTGTATGTATTAAGATAACTACTGGTCCGATTTTAAAAATTCTTTCACCGATAGAAAGGTAATTTATCTGAGTAACATGTTTTTTTTTTATAATTTATTAATTTCACGTGGACTAAGTCGCGAGCAAAAAGCTAGTTTGTTATAAAGTTGACTATAAAATGTATTATTCCAAGAGCGTAAATTGTTAAATTACGTTGTTGTTTAACGAAATTTCAAATAATAAATATTCATTAAGTTGAGAGAAAGTCATGAATATTCATACTGCAATTGTGAGATATTGTTGGTGTTTAAACCATCTTTAAAAGGCCCTTAGGCTGTCTTGAGAGTCAAATAATCTTGTTAGTTGATTTTACCTTGACTTAGTTTATTTAAATTAAAATAAACCTATCTTTATTTGAAACCTGTTTTAATAAAGTTGATTACAATTTTCGTTAGTAAAGATTTTTCAAATAACTTGTCACTTCAATGATCGAGCGATAAATTTCGAGAAAAGTTTCCCAAGCAAATCAACATTATTTCAAATATCTTCGATTTCGTAAAATTATCTAGCCTATGTCCAATTTTATTTACCTTTCTTTTTAAATAAAACCATTTGTAAGCGGCCTTAGTCGTTGCGATATAGGGTCGACCCTACGTGAGCATTCGTGCGTAGTGCCATCCCTAATTCTTATACATAAAATATACTGCATGACTTACACATCAGTCAGGGACCTTATGCTTGTAACACACAGTTGGGTAAAGGAATATTCGATATAAAACTAAGCATGCTATTGGTTACAGACTGTAGTCCAAATTCATGCTTTTTAGAAACCCTAAAACATGTATTTTTTGTAACTAATCCGTTTATAAATTTTTTTTAAATCGAAACGCAATACAAGACGGGTATTTTGTCTCTTTTAAATTGTTTTCATTTCTAGCTGTATTATAGATATTCGCTTAGCTTTCTGTTCGCTTTCGCTGTACATTATCGTTTAAAGTATTGTCAGATAGCCGAAGCTACTATAATTCAAAGTCCATTTTTTTTAGCCCAATTTAGAAGAGATTTTGAGTAAATTGATTCGTTTTTTTACTATTGGAATTTAGGCTTTATATTTAATTGAATCTTAAGTTGAGGTCGTAACTTGTTTTTATTTATTTTTTAAAATAAAATATCGAATAGTTTTTTTTTGTTATTCTTTTAAATATAGAAAATCCTCAATCTTATCTTTCACTAAAACAATGAAGCAATAAATAAAGTCAATAAACGAGAATCATATCTCAATCAGGCCCACAATATACTCATGTCAATGACGTAAGTCTCAAATCCTTTCGTTCGTCGAACAGCGGGTAGTGTCGTGTGTAATAACATACAAGCTCGACGGATCGATCTTACAGTCCATTGGACGCGTTGAAAATGGGTCGAGTTCATAAGGGTCGACATACACGGATATCAATCGTATCAATAGCTTCATGATTTTTTTTATATAAAGTGGCAGACGAGCAAGCTACCTTAATCCGAAATGGCGAAGCGTTGCCCAAAAACATCGTTGCATATTCGTTAACTACCCTTTATGGATGGAAGAGACGCACATAA